TTTTTTTTTTTTTTTTTTTTTTTTTTTTTTTTTTTTTTTTTTTTTTTTTTTTTTTTTTTTTTTTTTGTAATTTTGGATGATCTTAGCGTGTAAACTTGATGTGGTTCAATTTGGAATTGTCCTGCAGAAAGGTGGAACAGATTGCCGAGGAGGCTGACTCTATGAAACAGAGTTTGGACAAGTATTTTCTTAGAAACCAGAAGCGGATGATGGAAGCAAAAGAGAGGGCAGACTTGGTTGGAAGAGCTGTATGTACTTACTGTTAGCTGCTTGTGTATTTTGGTGGCTAAGCCCTCTTTAATCTTTCGTTTTAACCTTTCATTCTAGTGATATTTGGTTATGCTGCTTTTGTAGAAGGGAGACTCTGCTCACATTTTGAGAATTTTTGACGATGAGGCACAAGCTATGAGTTCAGTTCGAAATTCGTCCCGGATGTTAGAGGAAGCTAGTGCGACCGGAGAAGCGATCCTTTTCAAATACTCTGAGCAGAGGGATCGCCTGAAGGTATGTGCATGACTGAGACCATGTAGATATATTTGTTTTTCTTTACTGGGGCTACCGTTAATTGTTAAAGTTATCTGTGAAAGACTATTAGTGTATTCACTCTATAAATGTGAATATGTTAAGCATTCTATTATATATTCACAGTCCTTTGTTGCTTTAGGTTAGCTGCACGGGTGTCTTTGAGTTATGATCATATTCGAAGCATTAATTCAGTGTTTGGAAGTTGGTGCTCTAAGTATGGATTTTTACCACTCGAGTCTCGGTCTATATTTTGGCCGTTATAGTTTCTCTTGGAGTAAAAAGCACTTTGATTGGCTTTAAGACGTGCATTATGCTGACAACGTTGGCGTATGTTCAGGCCTCAAGTCATGTTTGCAAGAAATGTTTTAAAAAATGTGAGTGAGAAAATACATGTGAAAACGATTTGAAAGAATTGAAGAAGTCAACGTTATATGACTATAAACAAATAAAGGAATATCATGTCTTAAATAACATATAACTCAGGATAGAAAGAAGTGACAACTAGTCATATCCCCTTATAGTACATTTTTGGGCATTTTAGCCCTGGCAGGTGTATTCACAATTTTGGTGAATGGTCACTACACCACATATTGGCACAACATGAATAGTAAAGGCTTATTTAAGATGAAAGCATGTAAAAGGGGTTTGGAACGGAGATGTAGCCATGGACAACACGTCTTGGACAAGCATGACCGGGACATCCGACACGTGGTCATAGACAACACGCCTTGGACAAGCATGTCCGTGACACTCTACGTGTGAATTTTTACCACTTGAGTCTCTGTCTATATTTTGGCAGTTATAGTTTCTCTTTGAGTAAAAAGCATTTGATTGGCTTTAAGACGTGCATTATGCTGATTTAAGACACTAAAAGAGTATTCGACTCAGTTTTAATAAGTTTTAGTTGATGAAGTCCAAGTTCATGCAACTTAGGATTAGATTGCATGGAAAAAAATGTATAATAGAAATTTAGGCGTGCATGACTTGTGTTTTCTGTTTTAGCTTGTAATTAGTATGTAGGATGGGATAAAAGATGGTTTTGATGAGTTTGAATTTCTGCCTTTTGGATTGAAATCCCTTCCGGTAGTTAGTAATTCCTTTCATGGGCTTGTTTTTTTGTATGCCCCTTGTACATTCCTTCATTTTTTCTCAATAAAATCTTGGTTTCTGATAAAGGAAGTTTGAATTTATGTAGTCGAAATTTTATAGTCTGTGAGATCAGGAATTCTATTACCTAAGATTACAGAAATCTAACTTGTGGCCTAACGTTCCTCAGAGGGTTATTGATGGATGGTGCTATGATTATCGTTGATAACCTTTTCTGTACAAAAGACTGGATTGTCTTGCTACAATGAAGTACTTTCTTAGCATCATTTGATAGATTGTTTCTCTGAAACAAGCAATTTTAAAAGCATGGTAGGTTAAAATGAATATTTAGGCTTGAAATGAAATCCTCATCTGCTTTACTGCAGCCTTTGTTGGCTACATTTGTAACATTTGTAACATTTCAAGCTCACCGATAGTAGATAGTCCTCTTTGGGCTTTTCCTTCCAAGCTTCCCCACAAGGTTTTAGAATGCGTCTGTTAGGGAGAGGTTTCTACACCCTTATAAAGAATGCTTTGTTCCCCTCTCCAATCGATGTGAGATTTCGTAATTCACCCCCCTTTAGGGCCCAACATCCTCACTGGCATACCGCCCGGTATGCACCCTCTTCAGGGCTCAGCGTCCTCACTGGCACACCGACCGGTATCGACCCCCTTCAGGGCTCAGCGTCCTTGCTGACACACCCCCGGTGTCTGGCTCTGATACCATTTGTAATGGCTTAAGCCCACTGCTAGTAGATATTGTCCTCTTTGGGCTTTCTCTTCCGGGGTTTCCCTCAAGGTTTTTAAACCTCTCCCTTATAAAGAATGCTTTATTCCCTCTCTAATTGACGTGGGATCTCACAACATTTGATTTAGAATCCACCCCCTCTTATGCATTAATTACTCTCTTATATTCATTCATTTATTTTTCTAAATCAGAGAGCACAAAGGAAGGCACTGGATGTCCTTAACACAGTGGGGCTCTCCAACTCCGTACTGAAACTGATTGAGAGACGGCACCGAGTTGATAACTGGATTAAATATGCAGGCATGATTTTAACAATCGTAGTTGTGTTCGTATTTGTTCGTTGGTTACGATGATTCTTCACATTGATTGTCATACAATTAGATTCATACTGGATCCTTGAAAGGGATACATTGAGTCTGCTTTAGCCTCCCACTGTTGCACCCCTGAATGTCTCAGTGCACCCAGAAGTCAGAAAAACTACACACTAAACAGACTACTTAGACAGAGAAGCTACTTCGGACGATGCCCTTCCTGTCGAGCTTTGCAACCGCGGTAACTCAGAATGTTTTCAGCTAACCTTTAGACCCTTCTGGGTTGCTATTGTTTAAGTTCTGATTCAAGATGCATGGATCTGTCAGAAGCAGCTGCTTGATGATGGATTGTGGCATCAACTTCTGAAGATTCTTGGTGCCTCAATTCTCTTCTCTAAGGTTATTTCTTCTTTTTTTAGTAGAGATTTTGCACCTACTACTAGAACTATGTGAAGATAGCTTGGTAATCTCTGTAGTATTTTCTCTTTTTTTTTTCTTTCAAATTTGAAAGGAATGGGTAAACACAAGGTCCTGAGGCAAAATCTTTGCTAAGGATTATGGTGTTTAAACATGCAAGTTCTTGTAGCTTTGACTACCATACCCACATATTTGATTATAAATAAATCCCCTATTTTAGGCAGGTCAACCTTCATTTTTGATGGATTATGAAATTATTTCAGCGATTTATAGTTGAAAATTAGTTTGCCATTGAACTCATGGTTGCTAAATATGTTTCTGGTGCAGAAATATTTGAGGGCATTTGTTGATATGAATTTAAGACCTTATTATCGTTTACTTAACAATTCTAATATAACATTGAATTATCGACCTTTGAGATGACGATAATTAGTGTTAGAATTCACAAATTTATTGATTCAGAGTTAATAGTAATTATTTACTATTGTTCCCTGAGAAATCAAAATGTTAGGTCATAGCCGAAGTATAAATCTATTTTATGGTACTTTCAAAAATCTTGAGCATAATGTTATCTAGTAACTCATGAAGATATTGTTTCTTATGTTCTCAAATGTTATATTTTAATTTAATTAGGTGATAGAACGTAGTAGCTTCAAGTAATAACCCAAATATTCTTAAAAAAATCAAAGCTATTAATATAATATTGAATATGGTGTAATTGATATATGATAATATTATGTTCGAGTAATAATCCAAATGATTTATAGTATGTGTATGAGGTTGAGTGTCTTATATTGTTAACATTGATACAGACTAGTTTTGCTATTGTTTCAAATGATTGGAGATGAGTGAGTATGAATATTTTATATATTAAATTTGTATAAGACTGAACTATGAAATATTTAATATTTCTATATAAATTCGTTAATTGAGAAAATTAATATTTCACACGATAATCATATGTGACTTGGTCTTAGTATTACGTAAATTATGAACTCCTACTTCCGAGACTTGTTCTTTGATTTATATTGATGATAATGACTTTACATTGATGATAATAATGACTTTTGTAGTCAATTGAGTATTCTTGCCATTTTTTTTACTTGAACAACTAGAGAGCTGAAAACATAATATCATGAAATGAAGTCCACTTATTCTCCTACATGGGTAAGTATATGAGTAGCCTTAACGGTTGAGATCTCATACATGGGTAAGTATATGAATAGCCTTAAGTGTTGATTTTTCAACTTGAACAGTAGAGCCCACCCTTTCCCTAGATACTCAATGATAATTAATAAGTATAAGCAAACTAAGTTTCTCGAGACTTAGTTAATAGTTGGATCATAAAAAAAAATTATTTATCAGATAATTGATGATACTTAAGGTGTAAGATGTACTAAAAAGGGTAAGATGAATTTTTTACTCAATTGTAATTATGAACGACTAACTTGTGAATCACTGACTCGCTTGTAACAGTTACATTATAAACACAACAATACAAAAAATACACCTCCTTTGCCGCACACGATAGTTATATTAGACATGACACACAAACGACCTCCTCAACAAAAACTTGGTTATAGAAAATATCAAATGAAAAATACATTCAACTATGACAACATTCATAATTACGAAAGTGCACTAAATTGAGTAAAGATCTTCGGCCCAACCATAATCAAACATTTGTATATACTCAAAATATTAACCCTTTTTATCTTCTAATTGATCGATAGCCTTTTAGTCATTTTCGGGTATTTTCTCTATCTACCGATCACAATTTCATAAAACTAATCTCATGGCGAAGCCCACTCGGAGTCTCCGATGGCAACAATGGATTAGTGGGGCCATGGTATGTTAAGGCCCAAAATGGTTTCCATCGAAAAGGCGGGAACTTTGGTGTTCCATCGAACGAACAAACGTGGTATTATCATTATGTATAATTAATTTATGTCCATGTCAAAATTCCAGAATCATTTCTGTTATCTTTGTGGCGCCCTTGAACTGAAAGAGCAGAAAGCTGTTCACTCGTATTCTTCTAACTCGACCACCGGAAAAGAGAGCAGCAGAGACAAAAAAATGGAGGCTATTCTAAAGGTAAAAATGTTTTTTCTTCTTCTTCTTCTTTTGATTCTGGTTATGGGGTTATGCTTGTTTCGATTACTGCGGTTTGTTTTTTTTGGACTTGTTCTTCTTTGTTGTTGATTAATAGTGAACAATAAGGACATCATTTGTAAAAGAAATTTGTGGGTATTGCATTTGTTGTGGTTTGATCGCTGTTATCTGTACTGTTGCAGAGTTCATTTGGTTTCTCGGCGTTCAGGCCGTATCAGAAAAAAGTGATTCAGGACATTCTTCAAGGGAAGGATTGCTTGGTGGTCATGGCTACTGGAAGTGGCAAGTCCTTATGGTATCTGTAGCTGTCTCTTCTACCATTTGGGTTTGCTTGTTCTTGTTTATTAGCTATTTATTGATTTCATGTTTACTTGTCAAAGTTATCAGGTACCGCCTTTGGTTGTTGGAAAGACTGGCATAGTTGTTAGCCCTCTTATATCACTAATGCAAGATCAGGTAATTGATTGTTGTCATTACCACTGTTCGGCTTTCGATGAGTATAACGGCCCAGGCCCCACCACTGATATTGTCTTCTTTAGACTTTTCCTTTTGGGCTTTCTCTCACGGTTTTTAAAACGTGTCTGCTAGGGAGAGGTTTCCACACCTTTATAAAGGGTGCTTTGTTCTCCTCCCCAACCGATGTGGGATCTCACAATCCACCCCCTTCGAGGTCCAGCGTCCTAGCTGGCACTCGTTCCCTACTTCAATCGATGTGGGATCTCACAATGAAAATAGTGAAGGTTTACACAAACTGATCTGAACACTCACGGGCGTTAAAAAAACATTGTTCTGTTTCTCTTTTTTGCTATTGGGTTTTGGACCTCATATTCTTTTTGCCCAAGTCATTTTAGAATGTGGATTTTGTAGGTAATGGCTTTAAAACAAAGAGGCATCATGTCTGAGTACCTTGGCAGTACTCAGACTGATTCCACTGTTCAAGCCAAGGCGGAGAATGGTCAATATAATATTTTGTTCATGACACCAGAGAAGGCATGCTCTGTTCCTATCAGGTAAGAATTCCTGGAGCAATTCTAAGTCCAATTCTAGGCATTCCTCTTTCTATCTCTGCTTCTTTCTGAGTTTCCATGGCATTTGTATTGTTGTCATTTAATCCCATGTCTGTTTCATTCTCACTTCTTCTCTCTCTGTCTTGCTTGATCATGAGTTTTATTTGTTGTGATTTTATATAGACAGAAGTAATTCTAAAATTCTAGTGAAAAATCACTGGATATTATAGTCGTAGAGTGAAACTATTGTCTTTGAGCATCCTGGGAAGAAAAAATGTTCATACGATTGAATCCTTGAAAGGATGACTAGGTATTACTAGCTGTCAATATGCTGTAACAGATTTGAGTACTTCTGTCATATCCAGGAATTGGATGTGAGATCCCAGATTAGTTGGGGAGGAGAACGAAACACCCTTTATAAGAGTGTGGAAACCTCTCCCTAGCAGACGCGTTTTAAAAACCTTGAGGGGAAGCCCGAAAGGGAAAGCTCAAAGAGGACAATATCTGCTAGTGGTGGGCTTGAGTTATTATGAATGGTATCAGAGCTAGACACCGAGCGATGTGTCAGTGAGGAGGCTGAGCCCTGAAGGGGGGGGGTGGATTGGGGAGTCTAACATCGATTGGAGAAGGAAACGAGTGCCAGCAAGGACGCTGGGTCTTGAAGGGGGTGGATTGTGAGATCCCACATTGGTTGGGGAGGAGAATGAAACACCCTTTATAAGGGTGTGGAAACCTCTCCCTAGCAGACACGTTTTAAAAACCTTGAGGGTAAGCCTGAAGAGGACAATATCTGCTAGCGGCGAGCTTGGGTTATTACATTGGATGTGTGGGATGGATATACAATGTTGAATACTTATGATGTAATTCGGATGGAATTACATTTTACTCGGTGGCAAAGATAGTTCAAA